ACTACGTATACATGCATGTACCAGGGATGGGGTAATCGTAATCAGTAATCGTAATCAGCTGTAATCGATTACAGTTTGTCAAGTAATCATAAGTAATCAGTAATCACCCATTCTTCTGATTACAAGTAATCGTAATTTAATCAATTACACTAAAAAAAGTCTTGTAATCATGGTTACTTTTTGATTACTTTATGATTACAATTATTAGAACAAAGTTCATAAATTCATGATTTTTTATGGTATTTAGTGATTTTTTTTCAGTGTACATTTTTTTTATAAGCCAAAATCATTATAAAATTATAAGGTATATTTAGTTAGGTATCTTCTTCTAATGCTTTCAGAAATGCTTCTAACCAGGTCCATTGTCCAGGCAATGAGTAAATTTTATCATTTCTTAGTTAGATTAAGTAGTCATTTCAAAATACTTTAGCAGCTTAGGAATTCACCATTTTTGACTAGATATATGTATATACCAAAAGAAAATTACAACAGGATCATTTTAAATTTTTTTTTTTTTTTTGGTTTCAATTAATTAACATGTGTGTAATGCAACATTTTGTTTTCCTGATAAATCTTTATAAACTTGTAATAACATTTTGTTTTCCTGATAAATCTTTATAAACTTGTAATTTTTTTATATATCAAATGTTCCTTTATTGAGATGTGTATTCTAAAAATCACTTTGTTTGATTTACAGTGTACATAAAAAGATTATGTGAATTAATTAGTGATAAAACACAGGTATATATAAGTTAGGTCAGCTTGGGTAATAACAATTATTGAACTATCCATGCTTGTCCAGTCAGTGTGTTAATTCTAGTAAAACATCTAATAATTGGCAGCTAAAATGAGAAGTTCATTACTAATCAAGAAGGTCAATTACTTGTGTAACCGTTCCTGTATTGAATCCTTTTATCCCTAACTATAATTATGTCCATTTTGATTTTTAAATAATAATACATGTAATAAATTCTTTTTTTTTCTATTTCTCTCAACAATAACACATGATATCTACTTGTATTAAAAGTAAAAATCAGTTCATAAAGGATAAATCTAATGCATCTATATAAAGACAGGTACCACCAAACTTTGTCTGAAATCTATCTTAAAAATGGGTCTATGACAGGTGACCGAAAGACAGCTCACCGAACAACAACTCGCTGACACTTTTTTCACCGACACTATAAAACTCGCTGATACGACAAGTCACCGAAAGGTCATCGACAGACACGTCATCGACCGAACATATAAAACATCGAAAGTTAACAAATAATTAGAAAAAATTGTGTATGTGAATAAACGCTTTTATTCGTTTTAAAATCTTTTTTTCATTACATCAAAAACTTCACCTAATATTGCCGACCTATGACCTTGCTCGGATTCACGAGAAACAATCTGTATGTGCTAGACCAACAATGATGGATATACAAAAAAAGACAAAGAAAAACATGTTTTTTATGCATCTTTGATTATGTTTATTATATCGGAATACTTAACACGACATCTAACAATTATTATGAAAACATTGTCCGTGAATTTCTACTCAACGATACTATTGTCGGTGAATTGTCCATTCGGCGATTTTCACTTTTGTCGGTGACCTGTCTAATTCGAAAAAATTGTGTATAAAAACCGCTATAAAAATATTAATGATATTAAAAGAAAGAAGAATAAAAAAACATGCCGCTGTCCATGAACATGAAGGAAAAGTAATCAGATGTAATTGATTACTTTAAAAAATGTCTGTAATCAGCTTGTAATCGATTACTTTTCAAATCAAAAGTAATTGTAATTTAATCGATTACAAAGTAATCGACCCCATCCCTGGCATGTATATCACATTTACAAGATATGCATAATTACTGATAACAACAATTTGACTTTGAAACAAAATGATTGAATTTACTCATGAAAATACACTGTCTTACAAAAAAAAATTCAGTCCATTTAATAAACAAATTAGTATACGCTACTTCAAAGGGATTTCTAAGATATACCATAGATTTTACAGTCGTTTGTTGAACAAGTACGACTGCATGAGAAAACCATTTTTCGTCACAAGTGACCTACACAGTGATGTCATTTCACATTGTGACGTCACAAACAAGAAACAAAACTTTATTCAGCATATGCAATTTATAGAACTTGTGCTATGCGTATACCATTTTTTTTTAAACTTAATTGTGGTTAAGTAGATATAGAGATAGTTCGAGAACTTTTTGATCACCCCTCGTAGGTTGTGACTAAGGGTGATGATAATTATATATCTGAAAGGACTTAAGATATTCGGAATGGAGGGATATAAGGTTACTGAAATAAACTCACTTATCCGAAACCAGGCTCGTATAAGTGGTGTTGTACATGTATATAAAGGCCTAACAATCAGTATAAAAATCGTCAGTAAGTATTTAAACAATCAGCTTACTTTTTAGTGAATGCAGGTTCCAAAAGGGCCATGCTGATCCTGGATTTTCCACGTATACAGTGTGGACCTCTTTTGACTCTCCACCCTGTTCTTTGATCTCCCCCACCGATATCAAAAGTGATTTATTAGAACAGACGTCCATTATATCGTTCTTAAATGATTGATTTACAAGGTTTATTTCTTTTTCTACCTTCCGTGATCGGGAGGTCGTGAGTTCGTATCTCGGCCGCGACTGACCTAGTCGTTAAAATGGGCAGCAACTGTTCCTTCGCCATGCGCTCGGCACTTTGAAGTTGAAGTTGCGGGTCCTTCGGATGAGACCTTAAAAACCGAGGCCCCGTGTCAGCGGCAGGCGTTGGCACGATAAAGATCCCTCACTGCTCAATGGCCCTGAGTGCCGAGTAAAGGTCAAAATTTGAAGCCCTTCACCGGTGACGTCTCCATATGAGTGAAAAATTCTCGAGAAGGACGTTAAACAATATACAATCAATCAATCAATCTTTTTCTACCTTCCATTTGAGGTATTTTAGACAATTTTCGAAAGATAGGAACTCAAATAAGTTTTCTATTTCAATCGTCGCCCGCGTGGCGCAATGGTTAGAGCGTCTGTTCTACAGTCGCGTCAAGTAAGGAATCAATCCTTACGTCGCGGGTTCGAATCCCACTGTGGGACATGGAGACCGGTCCTTCGGATGAGTCCATATAAACCGAGGTCCCGTGTCGCAGTAGGTGCTGGCACGAAAAAGACCCCTCCCTGCTCAATGCCCCTGAGTGCCGAGTAAAGGACAAAATTTGCAGCTCTCCACCGGCAAGTGGTGGCGTCTCCATATGAGTGAAAAATTCTCGAGAGGGACGTTAAACAATATATAATCAATCAATCAATCTATTTCAATCAAACAGGGTAAATAACACTGATTCAAGGACTCTTATATTAACATAAAATGTATGTTTTAATTCAAATCTTGCTATATTAATCTTATCCATGTTTGAGAATTCGCGGTAGGTCATAGCGTTTGACAATGTGTTAATTAAAGTCTCTCTGTTCAGACCCTCAAAAGATGATGAGAAATTTCATGATGCAGCAACATTCTTAATTGAAAACAAGTCTTTAATGTTTTCCTTTCCAATTTTTCAATATGAACAATTCACAGGAAAATAAATTTTAATAATTTCCTGTATTTTTCAAAATCAAATGATTTTTAAACGAATTTTCCTGTTCTTTAAATGGATTTTAAAATAGTTGTGAAATTATCTAAGTTATATAGTTTGTTCTTAATAAAACATGATAGTAGTATAATATTTTATAAAGTCATAATGACCTAAAGAACTAATGTGAAAGGAGCCGTTTTGTGGCGCTCTATAAATTTTCACAGCTGCCCGATTCGTTTCTAACATCGTAAAAATTGAATTATATTATCAAGGGTTTGAATCGGTTGAACCCAAAGGTGAAACTAAAACATTTTTCATATATTTATGAAACTAGGAATATACATGTATATTTTGTATAATAATCTATGGATAAAGGAGCTGAAGCAATCGTTTACTATAGTAAATCAAAGTTTTTACTATAGTAAATCAAAATCTTTTACTATGAATTACTGATAGATATATTTTATTTTTTTAACTTTCTACGAATACTCTTCTGATATAAAAATGAACTATTTCTTGCATGTATATTTACATTTTTTATATTAAAAAAATTACGTCATTTATTCAATGATTTGTTCAATAACAGCCCTCTGTGTTTATTCCTGACAAAAAATTACGAAAAATAGACTAGGCACATTAAGTTAACCTTTTTGCCCCCTCTCGAAATATGATTTAGAGTTTGGGAGTCTTATTTTTTGAGGGATAGATCAAAGGTGATCCTTTATATAGGTAGGCACAATGAATATCTGATGGGAGAACGTGCTGTTATTTAAATATAAGAGCTGAAGAGGCCCCCGTTATATAACTTATAACTACTAATAAGAACAGAAAAGTATTTCTTAGAAATAAAACATCTAAATTCTAAGAAGTAAAGAAAAAGAAAATGAGTCGCTGCTTTTTAATTATCATTATCTCCTCTTTGAGTTAGCTAAACCCTCTGACGATAGCTATCGATTTGAAATAAACTCTATGATATTATCGGATATTTGAAACATTTCAATGCTACAGAAAATTCATTAAAGATTCACATATAAATAAACTTCTTACCGGTCTACGGGTCGTCGAATAGATCTTCCAAGTTTATTCTCACTTTAGTAAACCGGACAGAACACGTTTTAAAGAACAACATATAGGATACAGCTACTGCGTAAATGAATGTGTACAAAACTATAAAAAGTTACGTATTTTGTTAACGGAATTTCATAACTACAAGCGCGTCATCATAATCTACATTTAATCTACTTTGATTTAATTCACAATAAGTAATTCAATCTAATCTACTCGGTTTTAAAGAACACTTAGGTCAATGTTGCTGTAAAAAATGTTAACAAGTTTTTGCATAATTTTAAAAAGTTTACAATTTCGAAATTTTTCACCACCATCAACCATCTTAAATTTGAAGATTTATCACAATTTATCTTTTGAAATGGAAATGAGCACACAATCTGATTTTACTGAAAATACATCTGAACTGAAGGTGCCATCTACAAATCGATTTCCATCTAATGGGATCCAAAGCAGCTACGACTTACCTGTATACGGTCTTGAAAATGGCGACTTTTATTCGCTCCATATTCCTGCAATAACTTGCATCTTTCTCAGCTTTGTATCAGTTTTAGCCGTCATTGTTGCATCTTTTAAAACAAGAAGCATGACATTTTTTTCGTGGACCAAGAGCGAACGATTAGTTGTATATCTGGCTCTTTGCGATGGACTTTTCAACATCTCGCATGCTTTGGACCATACTCAAATGATTGTGACCAAAAATCATGTTTACCCGAAGGAATTGTGTACTTTCTATGCTTTTATGTTGATGGAGTTTGTCACTGCCCAAAACCTCATGGTTAGCGCTGTTGCACTTAATGTCTTCATTTTGATTTATTTTTCGAAGGATCTGAATTTTGGTAAATATGATTGGCGCCTTCTTGTGTACACTTTCGGTATTCCTTGCGTTGGAGGAACTTTAGCTGCAATCTTTGACAAGCTTGGACCTAATGGTTACTCGTAAGTTTTCTTTGCAATGTTATTGATTTGAAGAACTTGGTTTATTTTCTTTTTATTTAAAGCAAAATCAAAAAAAGTTTGGGTATTTAAACATTTTTTTTTAGTTTTGCGTTTAAACTGTAGTGAATTTCCTAGTATTCAATAGCTAAAACAAGTAATATACTGATACATGTTGTATTATTGCTTATATGGCCAATTATCAAATACAGTTATTAAGTATCAGTTAAGTTTATTATAGTATTTTAATTACATTATTCTTATTATATCAATAATTTGGTTCTTGACTTGCAAGATATATAACTGCAGAACTGTAGCTCTCTGCTTAAGAAAATTCGGACAGATAAAGCAGAGAGCTACAGATCCAAGCGTTGTAAAAACCTTCGATTTACGCCGACGGTTTTTTGTCGCTCACTTCCGCCAGTTCGGGTATTGTTTCTTGTATTTTATACTTCGCTCAGCTTTAAACATGGTGTATAATAATTAATCATACATTTAACTTCAATTCCTGTTAATTTGCTTACCTTTCAACGCTGATAAATACCTGTTTGTGGTTACGGACGTCGAAATGGAACTCTGTAATACCGACATTACAAAACTATTTACAGGAATTTTTCGGACCGTTAAAAGGTAAATAAAATATCAAAAATAGGAGTTAAATATATGATTAATTACAGGATACCATTCTAAAAGCCAGAGAAAGCTTAAACCATGTAAACTACACGAAATAAATACCTAAAAGAAGCGACAAAAAACCGTCGGCGTAAATCGAAGGCTTTTACAACGCTTCGATCTGTAGCTCTCTGCTTTATCTGTCCGAATTTTCTCTAGCAGAGAGCTACGGTTCTGCAGCTACAAGATATATAGAATTCTTCCACTTAAAGAGTACGCAGGGCTCTCCATCATTTCAAATTTTACTGTGTTGCATCGTTTACGGGGAGCCTTAAAATTTCGTGTATTTTTGTGATCAAATTCGCAAGTAAGCCACTATTCATTATGGTACCAGGTCCGTTCGCCCTATTTACCTTTTCGTATGAGTCCCTTCGCACAGGGTCCGTTCTAAATCTTTTTATGTCAACAATAATGTTGGATTTTGAGTCAATTCTTTCTTTTTTTTATTTTGTAGTATAGAATAATTGAATAATTATTCTTTCCAACGATACTTAATACTTATCGACTTTATTTCCGATTTTGATATTAGATAAATACTTAATTGGTTTAATTGCTGTCAATTTAGCAATAACTGTAAGAGAACACTTTCTTTGTTAGTTTGTTAGGGTTTATATAAGTACATACGTACGGAAGTGAAATCTACTATTCTTAATTTAATAAAACCTTACTAAACATTACTTATACTTGTAATTTAAAACTAATGCATATCACTCGGTAAGTTTACTTTTTTTTTTTACTTTTACTTTTTTTTCCCTCAACTGCATATTCTGAATGTTAAAGAATAATAAATTTTATGCCAACCAAGTACTTATGAATTATAAACAGCCAGAGTCCGAGCTTGTTTGCGAAAAATAGACACAATACCCATATTGTGTGAAAAGGTCATTTTATTCACAAAAGTACATTTCTCATAATATTGAATAAGCTTTTAGAAAAATACATCATATGATATGATTGCATAAAAGACATAGATTCGCAAAGGTGGGGATAAATATGTTGCCACAGAACAACAACATCTAGAGTTTCTGACAGAAAATGTGGGAGGTAAGTGGCCTGGGCGGGATTTAAATCATCCTTGCAGTAATCAGCCAAATCAAGGAATGCCGCAAACGATTCAGACCCCTGGAAAAACTCAGGCGACACATCTTCAAGAATCAATCTTTACGAGGTATGCAGAATGAATTGATGCAGAGTTAACTGCGGTTGACAGCTAAAATTTACTCGCAATGAGTCATGTTTCATTTCCGGTAATAAAACTACGCGTAAACTCTAGATGCTTGAGTTGAATAACAATATGACAAATACATAATTAAATACTTATATCTAATCTTGTTATGAATTTTTTTATTTTCCCATAAAACCAATTATAATTTAAACAAGGATTCATAAAATTCATGAAAATCAAAGGAAATTATGAAAACTAACCGACTAACATAATGTGCACAAACGGACCTTGTGCGAACGAGTTTTAGCGCGAACTTACTCAGGTCGAACGAGAAAGAGAGCGAAGGGCGTCAAGGGCGAACGCGTTTTAGGGTGAAGAAACATACAGCCATTTATAATTACATTATAAGTTTTACAAAAGAATACATACAAACACTTAAAAAAAAACCTACTAATTCGTTAGATAACTGGTATGGTCGCACATATTTAAAGTAAAAACACGTGCTCTGAAAAGCAAAGGAAATTGTGGTCGATACTGTCGAACTGCTCCCTAATTTTTAAAGTAATTTTCCCGTGATTTTGTCAGTTTTCATGATTGAATAAAAAAAAGGAACTTTCGAATAGTGCCTTGAAAAATTTAAACAATTTTTTTTACATCAGTTAGAGTGGACCTTCAGATATCCGGTCGACAAATATTCGGATGCTTCAGTATCCGGACGATTTTTCAATGGAATGGAATTTTAAATGTTGTTTTGTCTTGTTTAACTGGTAATTCAGATATCCGGACCTTCACATATCCGGACAAATTGACTAGGAACCAAAGCTTTCGGATAAATGATGTTCCACTATAAATGATTTCGGTACGATAATAAGTTTGACTTACAGTGCCAACATAATTCTAGAGACGTGGCTCTGTAGGAAAGACATATTTAATTTTTTTTAAATAATACAAAGTATTTTAAATGCAGCTATCAATATTAACCCGTTGCATAGAGGTGTGAAAACAAATGATTTGTCTTTGTTCTCTCACGCTCTCAAGTCCGGAGAGGGTCCGGGAGATAATTGATTATGCAAGGCAAAGTTCTAATGAAGAGTTAAGGGTGGACACAATGGATAGGCCATTTTTTCCCCTCAAATTCAATCTTTTTTCTCAATTCAATTTTTCTGAAACTTTGTTCTAGGATACAAAATCTCTTTTTATACTAGTATATAAAATGAAAGAAATTCAACCACACATTTTTTGCGCACATAGTTTGAATTATGGCCTATCGGACCAAGTAAGAAGATTGCGAAATCAGACATTCGAATTAAGAATGAGACTTATTTTAAAATTTTCAAATGATCTTTTGCAAATTTGTATAATACTGTTTATAGAGGTAACCTTTTTGTTACTTAAACTCAGGAAGTCATATTGATACTGGAAAATTTGAGTAAAATATTACGTAAAAGTAGAACATACGTAGCCTCGGAACTAAAAATTCACATGTAAATATCTTACACTTTAGGTTATCTCGTGAAAAATGTATGACTCAATTTTTAAAAAAAATTAACAGAATAATTCAAATGGGCTCCAGAATTTAATGTGTTAAAAAAAAAGAATATTGAACCAGTGGTTTGAAATATTTTGGCGATTAATATAAATTCAATGGCCAAAAAATTAAATATTCAGTAGATGACGTCACATTATTTGACCTTTGACCTCTTAATGTAACCTTGACCTTTAAAGTTCATTACAAATAGACACTCCTTATATATGTGTCCAGATATCTACCCTTTACCATTTATGGAACAAAACTTATATTGTATTCGATAGCAGACTTTTATTTATTCGTTTATAGCATTTAGAGTATGCGTAAACACATTCTAAAATGTATTTCCCAAGTGGCCAATATGTAGGATTCTCTAATTTTTCCATAAAATGTGCCGAAAACATACCACAACTTATTATTTTTCTTACAGGGATCATTCATTGTTGTCAGTATCGCAATATTCATTTTTTTTTCTCCTGTACTTTTTAAGAAATGAATTAAATTAGAATTCATCGGTGTTTTTTACTACCTTAAGTGGTCTGCTTTAAAAATTGTAAGACGGTAGGATTGTTTGATTAAATTTTCAGTTAGTGATAATTTATATGTTTGGGTTTTCTAATTATCACACATCTTTAACTGTGTCGCAAATTTTTTTTTCTATGTTTTACTTTACTGTGTCGGAGAAAATTTTACCGTGTCGGGCCAAACACAGTAAAACAGGTCATGGAGAACCCCGTGTACGTGTCATTTATCTAGAAAATTAGTTGCTTAATCAAATATAAAATTCATCTTAGCTATTTATCACTCGCTATAGGTGCTATCTTGACATAGTGAAAGGAGGAGTAACCATTTTCTTCTACACCACCGCCCCGTTATTAGCTGTTCTGATAACAAACATCATCCTCTATGGTCTGACGTGGAAGCGGATCAGAAGCGAGTCACGGCGCCTACAAAACACGCTGGGACAGGAGGTCGCTACCAAACGAGCTGCAATTAAAGCTGGAAAAACCATGATGCTTTTTGTCACTGTCTTCTTCATTCAATGGTGGTCCCTGTCTCTCTACGGAATATGGCAATTGATTGCTCCAGTTCCTTTGGCGTTGTTCCAGCTTATGACTACGTTTTCAAACCTTGGAGGGGTTTTGAACGGAATTGTTTATATCATTATCAGAAGACGGAGGGCTAAAGCTAAGCCAACGAAAACGACAAAGATGAAAAAATTTCAAGGCATTGCGACTAATTGTGACGGAGTGAAGGATTCAACTACTTAAATCTGCGTTGGCTGGGGAATTTTTGAAATGTTATTAACTCCCTGACAGTTTTATATCTAATTGATGTTGCATGAAATATGCTTTTGTTTTGGGAATTTTTTTAATCAAAGATGTTATACAAAATAAAAAGACTGTAATGGATATCAAAAATCAAATTCAATAGAACTTTATCTTCCAAAAAAAAAATACCTTGTTTGGTTTGAATCAGGGAGACATAATCCATACTTGTATCTTGGAGAATTTTACATTGTGGCAATAAATGTATTGTTGCTTAAAAAGAGCTTCAGTATAACTTACTTAAATGTAGCTAACTTTGCATGTTGAGAATGAATTTTCAATATTCCAAATCAGTCTGATATTTATAGAAAGTTAAATATCCAGGAGTGCTCAAAAAATTATATATTTAGCAGGAAGACTGGGGCCCTATTCATAAAGGAACTACCCAAAAGAAAAGACCAAAATTGCATTCTGCTAATAACGTTCTAATGTATATACATTAACTGAATTTTTTTGTCTTTAGTCCTTTTGCAAAACGGGCCCCAGGTATTTGCATTATAATGAGACCTTTTTATATGAGTCTCATGTCCCATGAGTTACGGTTAGTATGAAAAAAGTTACCCATCATTGGATTAAATGATAGATTATTTTGCGTACAGGATCATTCTATCGACAAAATAAACTGCAAATTGATGATTTCAAACAAGATTGTTAGACAACCGCATCATCTTGGATCTTTCCATCAGAAGTCGTTAAAACAACCTCGAATGTTCTAACATCACCGGATGTAAAAAGATTTATACAACGTAGAGTCACTTCCTTTTTAAAAAGGTATTGCAGTTGTAACTCCCTTCAATAAAACATTGTAGGTTATATCTTTAATTCACATTTATTTTATGTGTGTAGGGGGGGAGGGCTGGCGTGGCATCTTCGTTATAACTTCGAGGTTGTTTTTCCGCTAGTTGGGAAGGCCCTAGAAGTTGTGCGATTGAACTGCTGATATGTTGTTGCATCAATTAGGCAATAACTATATTCTTATTTGGTATTTGCGACCGTTTATGCTGATATAACGGCCGCAAACTGAGTTTTACCGGCGACGCGTAAGCGGAACCGGTAAAACGGATATATGCGACCGTTAAATCAGCATTAACGGTCGCAAATACCAAATTGGAAGATCAGTTATTCCCATTCTAATGCAATCAATGCATTTTGTTGTTTTCGTCTTATTTTGTTTAGTTTCGTTAGGACCTATATAAAATACGCCAAGAAGCATTGTGTTTTTGCGTCGCTCTATTATGACGTCACAATGAAAAGCTTTCACCCACGTTAATGCTCGTTTTACTGCTTCAAACATCAGTGCATTAGTCAATCAAAAGGTGTTTTACAAAACAATTGCATTAGAATTTGTATTTAAAGTATTAGATATGGTTATTTTAGTTTTTTAACACTTGAAAACATATTTGCAATGTTTTCGATTAGCACAGTTGCAGTTCCTTTGAAGAAATTTTATTGCATATTCTTTGACTTAGCCCAACTCAGTGTTTCTTTATACATGAATACCTTTGTATATTAAAAGTTTTGAACTTTTTATTGAACAATTTATTCTGAATTTGCAAAATATATTTCTGAAAACCACATGCATTTACATGTAGCTAACGTAAGTCTAATCATTAGTCCCCTACAGTTGAAATAGGAAACCTGTGTATTTTAGTTTAGATTTTTGCATACAGTCTTCTTCTCTCCGTTAAGGCAGTTCTTTTTTGTGTCTTTTTTTTATAGCTATATACATGTATAGACGCTTGTATTTGTTGTGCGATTTTTCAATGACATTTTATTGATGTGCATTTTATACCCTTTCGATATAATCTTTATATGGAGAATTATCTATTGATGATGTGTTATAATCAATTTATATAAAAAAAAATTCTTTTAGTATTTTTTTCAAACCTGATCTTCTTGGAACTTATTAAAAGGAAAAATTAAAGTTGAAAGGTGAAATAAATAGCTTATGTTTCTACATACACGTATTGATAATGCTTTATAGTGTTCACACACATTACAGAAGAACAAGCAAATTGAAAGGATCATGATACCCTGCTTTCGGGCTCTTACTGGATGGGATACCCTTGTTTATTGTATATCTTGTCAAATATGAATACCCCATCATATATTACTCAAAAATATTTATTACATTTGCTGTGTATTTCTAGTAAGTCAACTGTGAAATTGATTGAATACCATTTTTGTATTCTGACTCGCGCTTATATACATGTACATGTTATGTTCCAGTGAGGCTACAGAAACGTTAGCAAAATAAAACGATATAGAGCAGCGAGAAGTTAAAACATTGAGTATTTTTTTTTTAATGTTTTTGGGAATGTAAAATGTGAATACAAGGAGCTATCACTTCATGAAAATATGCTTACGTGTAAGTCTGTGTGATTTACACGTAAATATCTCACACTAAACGTGCTCAAAACATTTCTATATTTACCTTTTTTGTAGAAAACTCGGAAATTTCTTGTTACAGGTAATGCATGTGTCAAATATGAAATCCCAATCAGAATATATAAGGAAGGCTTACATTTTTAAAGGTAGTTAAAATTCTAAAGCCAGGGTCATAGGGTACAAAATCGTAGTGTAGTCGTATTTAAAAGGCCTTGTCACGGGTAATATACATGTTTAAAATTAAAACCCTATGTTTTCTCTTCAAAAAGTTATGACCAATTTATTGTAAGGTTAAAAGATTTGAAAAATAGGTCAAACTCCAAGGTCATGGAATC